TGGATGCTTGCGACACAGACAGGTCGACTGGAATATCATGACTCCAGACGGCAAAGGATGGGGCAAAAGATGTCTATTAATGCAATGAGGAGATGAGCGAGACTTTGCTAGGCGATGAGAGGTGTCACTGGCCATCCACATGCTGGTTAATATCAGTTAGTTGCTTTAGTTCGTCGACATCCTTGTCCGTAGTGAACCCCGGCGTTATTTCATGAAAGAGTAAGTTTCATTCCCTCCGCTAAGCAGATAATCCTTGAATCCTTTTGGTTTGTCCCGAGGTTCCTAGTTTTAGTACGTAGTTACATAGATAGTGAACGTGAGTCCGAGTCATCAAAGACAGACGAGATAAAGTGATCATGCGGGCGCGTGCGATCAAATGTGGGGTATTAGGCTAGACACGGAGTCCTCCGGAGCGACTCCGCTTGCAATAATCATACTGCCAATCGGTTTAGTTGGTAGCATAGTACCACTGTTTCACCTAATTTCGAACAGTTCATAATCATAATTAAAAAAGTCTGGTGGAATCCTAGACTAAGTAGATTAGTCTAAGGAGAATTATATCCTGGACGCCGGGGAGATACTGTCTACATGAACATGTCTCGTGTATCTTCGTCCGCCCATAAAAGATCTGAAAGGATTATTATCAAATTGTCAACTGAATATGGACCAATCCCAGTTAATGTTGCAAGGGCACTTCCTCTACCCGCTAGATACAACATTTGCTTCGCTCTGTCAACTTGAGACACCTCTCTTGTGTATTCCAAGTACTCCGAACCCAATGAGATCACTTCGGATGCGCCGTCATCTTGGGATTTAGATTGTGCAAAAGGCCTAACTCTTCAAGTTCAGACAGCCATATAGGCAATTCCACTGATCATTTTGATCATTGATATCGAATACTATGGATCCGATACTTCTCGGAATAAGCAAGTATCCTGCACCTAAGCAAAAGACAAGATCATTGGCTAGATACCTCGTACGTTCAGTAAGTCTGGATTTCAGGGGGGAACATCCGGGGCTGAACCAGGGGTTGGGGTTGGTTAAGGAACCATATTTTCATAGGATCAGAGTATCAAGTTCCAAGTGAATATTATCTACTAGCAAAAGGAGATCGATCAGATAGAGAAGATTGTCTCGTGCATTCCACAAGTCTAATTGGTGGTCTAGAATGCGAGAGGCTTTTGCTGATTCCATTGCTTTGTTACCTATCTAAGCGCCTCCTAAGTAGCTGAGATGCAGAAAAGTAACGAAGCATATGCATGTAGTTACTACCAGTCATATCTCTTCTCCTAGAGCCTAGATAGTTCGTGCGACCGTTATTATATTCCCAATCATATCAAAAATGGTTTGATGAATGATGTACTTACGAATGTTGACTCCTCATATTATGGTCCGTTGGCCTGTCCTTCAGATAGCCTCCTCGCCCTCTTCTTTCTAGGTTAGAATTTAGACTCTTGCTGATCTTCGCTCTTCAATTCCCCCAAAGTCATTTTTCCCTCCCACCTTATCCACTTCAATATCCTCTGAATAACTTGCCATTACTCTGTTATATCTCTTTCCACACAGATTGCCATTCATTGACCTCGGTTGACGTGGAAGTAGCTGCTGCTTTATGATAATGATCCCTGTTTGGTGACGGCTCGTCCCTGAGACAATTCTCCACACCAATCCATTGCCGCATTCCATCGCGCGTTTCATCGAGATATCTCCTCTCGAGAACTTAAGATGAACGATCACGATCGCTTTAGCCAGTCATCCTATGGCGATCCGAGATACCTATCGTCCGCCTCTTTCGAGGCCCCTCGGGCGCCTCCAGCCAAGGTTCTCATGGACGGCTACCGCGAGACGTTCGAGCCCCAATATGCGGAGAAATTGCGATACAATCCGGTGCGTTGAACCCTCACTCGGTTTCTCTCTCATATTGAACCATGCTTTTAACACAACTATCCTTATAGCTCAATCCGACCCAGCCACGAAGTCCAGCTTTGCTGAACGCCAACGACCCCGTCGCCATGTACCTACTCACCGAAACCGCTATGGGGGACAGCATGAATTATGAGATAATGTCTTTGGAGGAAGTTGAGGCTTTGAAGAAAGATTACTCCTTTCTGTCCAGTCGCCTAAACGCAGCCAACCGGAAATTAGCCCTGGAAATGAAACTGCGCGACGCGGCTCTGTCGCTCAGCAGATTAAACAACTCGACAAACCGTAGGGGTAGCGAAGAATACGACGCAGGGATCTCGCCGAAGTCTCGTCACAGCCCCAGTAATGGGTTCGACGCTACGGGCTCATTGGACAAGACGGATGAGGAGCTGGCAGCGAGCACACGAAAGTGCGAGGAGCTTGCTCAGGAAGTCTGGAAGTTGGAACGCAAGGCGCAGCACGTACGCCAAAGGTTATTGGAACATACAGCCGGTGTTCTACAGATGACGCATAAGGGGTTGAAGAAGAACCTGAGGAATGTCCCACACACCCCGGAGAGCCTCTCTAGCCACAACACCCGCGGCAGTATCGACGACTTTGACGACAGAAGCTTATACAAGACGTCAGACAATCTTGATGGGCCAGCTGGTTCCGGTAGCCAAGAGATGATTACACTTGAAGTTATCGGTGATACTGAAAGAAGGCTGGAAGCCATGAGTGAGAACCTGCGCGACATGGTTTTAAGGCTGCAACCTGAGAGCGACTATGATGCGATTCCTCAAACCTCGGGTGATGCGACATCGACCAATCCCACAGCGGCAATCGAAGCGCTCCTTGCTTACATTGAGCGTGGTTTGGATATAATCACTGCAAAGCCAGCTGAGACTCCGCGCGCCTTAGAGTTGGATCACGGTACAGAGAACCATTTAATGGAAATCAACGCCCGACTACACCACATTGTGGGGCAATCTGGATTGTCTCGTTCACAGGCACTGTCTCCTCCCCCGGCGTCGTCCGGGAATGGCCTACAAGCACATTTCGATTACCTGAATCTTAGTATTGATGATCTTCACAGTCAGATTGAGAAACTCCTCGAGCAGAAGAGCATCCTAACCACTCAAATTCAGCAACAGCGGGAATTGAACTCCAAGTCGGACGCGGAACGAGATGCACACATAGCCGATCTGGTCGAGCAGATCGCTCATCTCCGGAAAGACCTCGAGCTGTCTGAGCAGGAGGCTCAGAGTGCAAAGGATGAACTCGACCTGTCAATCAAGCAACTCGAAGCTCTACGTCAGGAACTCAACGACCTTCAACAACACAAGAGCGTCGCCGAAAACCACGCGAGCGCTTTGGCATCCGAAAAGGAGGCTCGAGCGCACGCCGAGGCGGAACTGTCGCGCTTACATACTGTCATGCAGGAACTTGAGCAGGGGAGGGACGCTCAGACGGAAGCTCATGAAGCACGTGTGCGGGCTGAGCACGAGGTCGCTCGTCTGGAATCCCATCTCGAACAGCTTCGATCCGAAAGCGTTTCTCAAACAGAGGAACTCACTGCCGCTCGCTTGAAGGCAGACAGTGAGGTCACACGTCTGCAGACTCTGGTTGATCAACTGCGCCAGGAAGGAAACGCCAGAGCGGAGGAAGCTACCGAGGCCCGGGACAGAGCCGAACAACAAGTACTACAGCTGGAGAAGACGATGCAGCAAGTTCGCAACGATGCTGACGCACGGATCAAGGAAGCCTTAGATTCTCGCGTCGCGGCAGAAGAGAGTGCGACTCGGCTGCAGGCTGAATTGAGTGAGATGTCTAGCGAGGTTTCTCGCCTGCAAGACGCTATGGAAAAGCTTCGCACTGACATGGAGTCACGGCTCAGAGAAGCAGTTGAGGGACGTACAAACGCAGAACAGAGCGCGAGTCGTCTGCAGGCTGAATTGACAGAAATGGAAGGCGAAGTAGTCAGGGTACAAACGGAACTGACAATGGCCAAAGCGGAGCTCGATGGTGCGTACGGTAGCAGAGCCCAACGAGCAGCAGAGGTGGCCGCCAATCCAGCTATCCAAAAGGAACTTGATGACTTGAACACTAGAAATCTTGAGCTTGCGGAGGAGCTCGCAGCCCTCAAAGCCGGAAAGCCTGGTAACAGCGATCTTCACCAGCGAGTGCAGATGCTGGAAAGGGAACTCCGGGAAACTATTGACGATTATGAAGTCATGACCAAGGCAAGCATCGAGTTCGAGAAAGAGCGTGAGAGGTACGAAGGCATGATTGACGGTCTACGTGACCGCTGCGAGCAATTGGAGACGCAGCTCAATGAGGAGCGAATCAATTGGATGGGTGTCAACAACGCAATGGGACGAGATGGCACGTATGAGACCACTTCTACAATGGTCTTGAAGAATGAATTCAAGAAAATGATGCGTGACACTCGCATTGAGAACATGAAGATCCTCAAGGTCAGTTACAAATTTCGCGGCCTTCCTTTGCTGTTCTTCCATGCTAACGTATCTGTGCAGGCGGAGCAAGAAGAACGAAGGCGACTGGAGACTCAGATACGGAATCTGAAGAAAGAACAAGCAGCAAGCGCTGGCAAGTCGAGTCTCAGCCACAGCGTCACGGCTTTATGATCATGATATCCTATAGACTTTCTTTCTTTCTTTTTCTTTTTCTTTTTTTGGGTTACTCCGGCTTTCATGTCACCTACCAATCAGTACAGCCATTACTCTCGATGTGCATATTAATTCTCTAATTCCCTCCATGTACTATTTCCGAACTCTGGCCATCTGTGTTTATATTTGTCTCCGCACATATGACAAGGAAGCTGACATTGTATCGTCAATCGTCTTGCTTTCGATCGCTTTCCATCTGTGGATGCTGCAACCGTATCCCTGCTCCTGCCCTGTGACGAAGACAAAGATCGCGTACGAATGATGCGGAAGGTGCACAGAGCCATAAGGATGTCTCTTGCGAAGGTTATATCCCATGGCCCCGATCCTCGTTCACACTTGGTACACAGCGTCTTCTGCAGCCTTACTGATCATTATTCTTTCGTTCATGACCCCTGTTTGTCATTGAACATGTCACTCCGATGTCGTCCTGTCTCGATCGAGTCTGTATCCCCCGATCGACAATCATTTCCTAGTGGTCGAAAGACCTATCGTGGAAATGCCCGAAACACGAATACAGGACTCTCTGTGCCATTGACCAGCGAAGAAAGCTCCATCTACAATGCTGCGCGAGCGGGTTCCGTGGACGAACGTTATTCATTGACTCGTAGCACTGATAATCCCATGGACGAGATCTTAGACAGTGGGATAGCAGCGAATATGGCCATGTTCATTCCTTTAGCCCATGAAGCACATGCTTCCCATGCTCTCCATCTCTCAAAGGGGCAGATGATCAAATGTCCAACGCGTGACTCGCATCCGTTATCAGACAACTGCGTCGCAGCGACCGCGAGGTGTGACGAGAAGTCTGAACTTGTTTTGTCGGCCGTCTCATTGAGGAAGCACTCTCGCGATACGTCTCGTCATCGTAAAGTGGCTAGTCTCAATGACGTAGACGACGTCCAACGAGTTCCGAGATGGCCAGGACGTAAATGGTCGCCAGTGCGTCCTGCTATTCCACGATTTTCTCCACCGTATAGATCACCCACACCCCCGGGCCTTCCATCTTTCGGAAGTCCCGAAGCGATGTCCTACTCTACCCAGTTCTTTGTCCGGTCCTTTGTTCGTGAGGGACATATCCAACAGAGAGCTCCACCAACCACAGGTACACTCACTTCGAATGGTGGGGGTGTGGCATCTCGTGGGGAAACCTTGCGCAGGCTCTTCGGAATCTCTTCTCCTGCCCCTCCTCGGCCTCCTAGACAGCCGATCCCCGTTGCAAGGGCTGAAGATGGTACGGCAGTGCTAGGACGCTTTCCCTATCKGCATAGCGCCCATGGTACGAGCTTGGTCAGGCGACTGGACGACCATCCTTTCCACCGGAGAGAGCTTCCTGCGACTGATTGTGAGGCTGTCGAGGAGGAAAGAGATGCTAACCGTCCGAATGAATATGGTACAAGGTTCGTGAAGCTCGCAAGCTTAGTGCAAGTCGAAGCATCAATGCCGACTTTGCGTCCCGCTGAAGAGACTCATAATTTCGATCCTTCTAGTGGCACGCCAGCAATACCTAAACCGGCCGTGACTGGTCGATCTCAAAACACACGACTTGCTACGGTGTCCCGAGCAAAAATCCTCATTCCTCGACAGACTAGCAACTCCCAAGCACAGCATGGTCGCACTTCACTGAGTAGCAATGCGCCCCAGCAACAGAGTTCCGACCGAATTGGCGAGACTCGTCGATCCCTCGACGTGACTGGAACAGTCCACGGGTCAGCAGACCCTTTGCTGCAGTTTCTACAGAACAGGGCGCGTTCTCTCTGCTGTTGCCTCCCAGGCTTCGGTGAACAGGACGATATCATATACTCGCAATCTTCGAACGACACGTACACCACTGCAAGAAGCTCGCCTGCCAATGGGATTAACTGTAGAGTTTAGTATTATCCGTCAAGCGACTTCTACAGACCTGAGCACGCAGAATCTCTGTCTGTCAAATTGGGCAATCACGCAGCCGAACCCTTCTCTGGACGCTCGGATTAGCATTGTTACTTCACTACAAAACGCGGGGAGCCGTGGGACAATCAACCCCATCAGAACCTGTTGCTAATCATAAATTGCACTTGGCTCCCTTTGGTGTTGCATTATAAACAAGCACCAAGCCTTGTAACTGTATCATTATTTCTTTTATTATGATTGGAAAGAGAACCAATAAAGACATCCAAATGGTTAAGGCATATACCAGGCAACTCCGCTGCTCACATGCAAATATGCTTGGACATATAAAAGTAAGGGACAATATGCGTGTGCTGTGGTGGGAAGAATATGGAAAGTAAGAAAGGCTTGGAAGGAAAGGCTATGAAACCGAGATGCAGAGGCAAGGATTATCGGACATAGAGAAGAATGACTGGCATAGATGCACAGAAAGTGAAGGGTCATGCTGATAAGGACAGAGAAAGAACTATGTGATGAGATATGGCCTGAGAGAAAGCGCTCTCGAGCCGGGAACGAAGGTCGATTGAAGTATTATAGACCGGTAAAGAATTGGCACGCTTCATTGAGCTCTTCATCGTCACCCACAAAGTCCCATCCCACGATCCTAGGATCCTGGCTGGCGCAGATAATCTTGCGAGCATCGAACTGCAGTTTGAAGATCCTCGATGTAGGGTGGCCGCCTTGCGGGTTTAGAGCTCGGTTCACGCGAACATGGTGGTGGTGGTGCGGCGGTACGGGGTTCGGCATCGGCTGCGCGTTCTGCATGTGATGTTGGGCTTGGATCAACAGTGCCGGATTCGCAGCGTGCCCCAGTTGAGCGTTGGCGTTGCCTGGGTTCCAGGAGTCCCAGGCAGCATTTTGTTGACCAGGCGCAGGATGAGTGATAGGAGCCTGTTGATGAATTTGGTTGATGGGGGGAAGATGCTGCGTGGGAGGTGCTTGTCCAGGTGGAGGCACAGCAGCTTGCCCTTGAGGCAAAGGCGGGCCCTGATTCTGCGGAACCCGCGGGGGAGGAACCATTGTCCGTGAAGAGGACAGGTGCGCCTGTGACGCGTTGGCGACGGCGTCGGCCTGCCGTAATCGCTGACTTATGACCCATCGGCCTTCTTTGTCTTTTTTCCAGATGATGATTGATTCGTCGTATGACCCCGAGACAATCCGACCCCATTGACTGCCACCTCCGCCTGGAGGTATTTTGGCACCGAGGGCCTTGATGTCCCGAGGGTTCCGCGAGCCCGCAGTGTTTTGATGATAGCCGGCGCGTCTGAGGGCACTTGGACCCAAATCGACCCCTTCGCCGGAGCGTTGAGCATCCCAGAACTCATTCTCGATTGCCAGAGCTTCGAGTCTCATGGCTTCCTCGGCGCCTGGTGGATCACCGAAGCCAGCCTGGACGGTCCTTACCAGGTTGGCATGTCCATGTAAACAAGCGACCTCTGCGCCAGAGGCATGATCGAAAATTCGGACTGTATCGTCATTGCTTCCACTGATAATACGTCGGTTGTCGAATTGCACACAGGCAATGCCTTTTTCATGCCCCGGGAGAGTCTTCTTGCATGCTCCGCTGTGGATGTCCCAAATCTTGATGAGACGGTCTCCCGACGCGGAAACGATCTCATCGTCGTTCATCTGTATGGCATTAACGGCCGCACCGTGTCCATCCAATGTCATCAACAGAGAGTAAGGCCTCAAGCTTCTGATGTGGTTTTTGGCAAGCTCTGCTTCCAAAACGGGAGATGGAATTTCGCTTGTGTCAATAATATAAGACGGATACGTAACTCCGAGTCCTTGACGAACGGTGGGATAATGTTTGTCTAGAGGTGTAAGTTCTCGTCGATTCCAGACCTTGATGAGTTTATCCTTAGAGCACGTAACAAGATAGCGCTCGTCGAATCTGAGGTTCAAGACGGAGTCATCGTGAGCGGACGTGATTTCATGGATTTTCTCACCGGTAGAGAACCGCCAAATTATGACATTTTTGTCACTACTCCCCGATATTATGACATCTTCCGACGGCCGCGGGTCAAACTGTAGGCATAGCACCGACTTTGTGTGACCGACAAGGGGACGATACCGAAGTCTCTTGGTCTCCAAATCCCAAACTCGAACAGTCCGATCTCGGCTACCGCTGACGAGCCACCTGCCTGTAAACTGAATTGCATACACACACTCCAGATGAGCCTCTTCTGGGTGGGCCGGATGCGGGAGTTGGAAGTTAGTGAATCTGCCTTTCGCCCAGTTTTCTTCCAAGCGTCTTCGTTGTTTGTAGAGGTGAGGCCAGTTGATTCGCATGGCGCCATTCGGCATTCGAATCATGATTTGGGACTTTGGGGAAGTGGACAACGGCGGACCATTCGATTTGGGTAAATCGACAGCTCGGGAACCGCGTCTGTGACTGGGAGACAGGGGCGAAGATCTCGAGGCTGCCGACACGGAAACGTCGTTCACAACATCACTCATCTGGTGGTCTCCTTCATTATCCGCTTCCACGGGCGCTCCGAAGTCCCGTCCTGGAGCGTCATCCGATACTGTTTCTGTAGCACGCAAGTCCAGCCAACCCTGAGGGACTCTTTTCTTATTCTTCGGCTCTCCAGCATCCGGATCCTCATGTCTCGACCGGGACTTGCGACTCTGCGGAGAGGACAGCGCAGATTGTTTCTGTTCGAATGTGCGGATGGCGTCGATGTCGACGCGCCAGCCTTCGCTGACGTATAGGTCTCTCCATAGTCGAGTGTCACATATGCGGCTCCGCCAAGCACGAGATGCTAATGAGGCCGTCAACAGGGTCTTGGGGTCAAGGTAGGAGAAGATCTCGGATGTGATTTCGGGCGGTAGCTTGAGAACAGGGTCCATGTGCAACAAAGGGGCGAGTCGATCGACGACCGAGGCAACAGTAGAGGCTCGTAGGGTCCGGAGCAAGTTATACGCGAATTCTGTACAGCCAAGAAGGTTGCCCATTAGTCTCCATGGTCACAGCAAGGGCTTTCACCAGACGGGTTGTCACTTCTGGCTGCACGCCTAACTCACCAGCTTTGTCCGCTTCTCGGAGCGCAAGGAGCCAATCCGGAAGGGACATCGCATCGCCTGAAGATGGTTTCAAGCAATCATTGTCCGACTGGCTTTTTGTCTCGTCAGCATAGCCTTCATCAAGCTTGAAGCCTGCTGGAGACAATGATGGGGCGGTGAAATCGGAGGAGCAACTGGGGTCCCGCAGCCGCATGAGACGAGGAACTGCAGCCTCCGCCGCAGCGGGCTCTTGCTCCATGTGGAAAATGTTTCGTCAGATAACAGTCGTGTGGTCGGATAATCGTCTCTATAAGGAATCTTCGTTGTTCAGTATGAGCTTGGTTGACTTGGGTTAGGATGTAATCGAGTCGGTCACTGTTCTGTCAACACATAAAGGTAGGACATTTCCGTTGATCGTACAGTCAGGAGATGTGATAATCGATCAGAACAGTGGATCATGCTAATCAAGCCTGAATTTGAAGATCGATCAAATTATCTTCAACGGATCGGATCTTTACAGTATTGGTGTGATGGCAGCCAGAAGGCTTGGCCAGAGGGGAAGTTGTTTGTGTCGATTATGTCAAGCTGAGAGCGGTATATCATGTCAGAAATACACGCATATACGTATATCCTATCCCACGATTTGAAGTTTGAGTATCTAAGATTGCAATCGATAATCAAGTTTCTTGGAATTCTATCTAAGTGACAGTCATTGACCTCTATCATTTTCCATTGACTTTTCCGGTAGAAGTTTGACCGTTATTCCTACAGCGAAAAAAAAAGCACCATGACGGAGAACCCGGAGGTGCTGTCTGTCGTAAGGGACAGTTTCGGCCATATCATGGATAATGCCTCACCGTACAGAGGTAACTGTGACCGAACATTATTATGAGCCATTCATTAACGAGAACAATTCCTTCCTTACTTTCGAAGAAAATATCAAGTTTCGGAGATAGTCAGAAAGATACTAGTTATCCAGCCCACATCGAATCTGAGTGGGAAGTACCGTGCGGCATTTCTGGTATCAGATAGATACAGCAGCAAGGACTCCCACCCTCCTTGACTCTTGAGGTCAAGAGACCAGATTCATCATGACCGCTTACTATCTATCTCCTACGAATGCCGTGAACTTACTTGGAACCGGAAGAAGCATATGTATCATGCAATTGCCCAGTCTCCCTCCCTTTTCTCTGCACCAGATAGATACACAGTACTCCGTAAGTTGATAGAGTTGAGAGCCGAAACACTGACTGATCGAGGTATCCACTTCCCAGGTCCGCCGTCCAATCCAGTAATCAATATCAGAGTCTATCAGCTTAGATCAAGGCTCCATTGTCAATGATGTGTTTCGGATTCTGATGCTCTGAATCGCCTGTCACTCGAAAGTTTTGGGAGATACTGTGTAGATTGACAGACGTAGCACTTCTGGACAACATCATGAAGCAGTGTCACCTTGACTGCCAAGGAGCTGACAAAAGAGAGCAGAAGTACATTTCTCAAATTTAAGCATACTGTAGATAAGTTGGATGCAGTAGGTATTAATTAAAATAGTTGGAAAGAGATTCCGTCGAAAAGTTTATGCCCCCTGCCTCCCATGCAGTTCATACATTTACTGTGTCTGCACCAGATCATCAGGATCATGTGCCTCTTAAAGCCTGGGGGATCTGTAACAGAATCATGATGCTTCTTTCTTGTCCCTAGTCAATAAGTTTTAGACGGCCTCTTCTTGCTCTAGGATTCTATCTCTTTTCTTCTTCTGTGACATTATTATTAGCACAACAAAGTAAGAAGAAAGTTTTAAAGACTCCGTAGCTGATACTAGGTATTCAGTCTGCTTCTCCCCACCTCTCCACAGCTACTTTAAATACTCAGGTACTGCCTACAGACTACAGTACTACTACTTCTATAACTAGATATACATAGCACTAACGCGCGCTACC